AGGGCATATCACTGTTTTATTTTCTGATAGTGTTAGACCTTTTTTTTTACAGTCAATGTTAAGAGGTCGTGGTGGGTGCTACAAACATACCTTCTATGGTATAGAGAGTCATCGCTGTATGGAGACCACGCCCAGCTTAGCTTGTGCCAATAAATGTGTATTTTGTTGGCGGTAAGCACAATTTAGTTCTTAGGTTTGGCAAGTGGAAATCACCCTTAAATTCACTGACAGTACAAGCAAGTCACTGAGAATTCACTCTTAGCTATAGGCCAGTTCACACAACACCCACATCATCCGCAACAGCAACTAGAAGACTAGCTGTCTTATTGTAAAATGTAATGTAGTGTGATGGGAACTACACCGCTAAACATTTGTCAAGAAATGTGCCACATTATGTCTTTGTGCAGTTCTTATTGGTAGTATCATGTTTTGTCTTAAACTGCTAGGCTTTAACTGACAATAGAATACTCTAAAAGAGGTAAAAAACGTTCTCTGGTAAAATTGTTTAAAGTTGTGAGCTTTCAACAGCCAGTCTGCTGTCTTCGATGGACAAAAATGAAATGACTAACTGTCTTGTCTGTGGAGGCCCATAGACAACCACAAGAAAACCTCTTTATTCTCGTGAGAGTAATATTCTTATGAGGTGAATTCTTTGTTATCTATATTTTAGGCATCACACAAATCCTGTTGGAACAGAGTGGAAGTGGAAGACGGACGATCCAGACACCATTGTTAATGGGGCCATGGAGAATCACCGCAATATGATTAAACAGTTTAGAGGTAAGTTACATGAATAAAACAAAAAGTAGAATTCAACTTATGTAAACTAACAGGAAATGAACTGAAGGATTGGGTGACAAAGCTACATGTAAATGAGCTGCTGTTGAACATTCTCCAATTTTCTCTCATCTTGTTTGTCTGACTGCTACCTTTTTTGTTCATTTGTTCAGGGGTTCCTGGTGTCAAACCAGAGCGATTCGAAGAAGGAATGAAAATAAGACATTGTGCACTGTCACTTGTAGGTATGATGTTTAAGGTAGCTTTGTACTGGTTAAACGACAGATAAATTTAAATTTAGAACTAGATACATGTAATTCATATTCAGTTACTTTTAGTGTTTTTAATTTGCAAATGTTCAAGAAAGGAAACCTATGCAAACTTGAAAATGAATTCTTCAGATTTTCCTGTGTGTCCTGGCACGTTTCAATCCTTCAAAACTAGTTTTCAGGCTTGCCCTTGCACGAGCTGTAACTTTGATGTCCTAGCCCAAACGTCATTCTCACTAGCCTCCAAAACTTGATCTCTTACAGTACTTTTAGTTCCTCAAACATTTTCCGAGCTCAGGCTATCGGATGTGACCTTTCTTTGCATGCTGCCTTATCGTTGCTTCCTTTATGAGTTCCTATTATTGTGGAATACTGCTCCAAAAGACTAAGCCATCACTTTTGGAATTGCTGCAGTTGCTGTACAGTATGCGGATATTTTAAGCATTGTTCCTGAAAAGCCCCATTGGGGGCTCAATAAAGTATTCATTCATTCATTCAGTCAGTCAGTCAGTCAGTCCGTCCGTCCGTCCATCAGTCAGTCAGTCAGTCAGTCAGTCAGTCATATTGCTAAATGGCAACAGGTTTTAAGCCTATTGTGGATCGTTTTTTTGATCGTTTCTTTTGTAATAGGTGAACCGATAATGTACCCAAGAATAAATGAACTGATCAGGATTCTTCATGGGCATGACATTTCCACTTTTCTTGTCACTAATGCCCAGTTTCCAGATGCTATCAGGTAGATACTTTAAGCGTTGCTTTTTTTTGTTTTTGTAAGATTCTTGTAGTCATCAATTTTGGCAGTCTAGTTGAANTTCATTCATTCATTCATTCATTCATTCATTCATTCATTCATTCATTCATTCATTCATTCATTCATTCATTCATTCATTCATTCATTCATTCATTCATATTGCTAGATGGCAACAGGTTTTAAGCCTATTGTGGATCGTTTTTTTGATCGTTTCTTTTGTAATAGGTGAACCGATAATGTACCCAAGAATAAATGAACTGATCAGGATTCTTCATGGGCATGACATTTCCACTTTTCTTGTCACTAATGCCCAGTTTCCAGATGCTATCAGGTAGATACTTTAAGCGTTGCTTTTTTTTGTTTTTGTAAGATTCTTGTAGTCATCAATTTTGGCAGTCTAGTTGAAATGTTCCACTAAGATGGCTCTATATACATTGCCTTCCTTTTCCCATTTAGAAACCTCATTCCAGTGACACAGTTGTATGTGAGCGTGGATGCAAGTACAAAAGACAGCCTCAAGAAGATTGATCGACCATTGTTCAGAGATTTTTGGCCTCGGTTCCTGGATAGTCTCAAAGCTTTATCGGAGAAGGTTTGAGTTTTACATGACTATGTTCTTGTTAAAGGTGTTTATATTGGGGGCTCCAAACTTTCAGACTGGATGCCAAAGGTTGTTAGCTGAGACATCTCTCCTTCTAACTTGTCGTAGGGGTACCGCCAACTTACGTTAGTCAGGTTGGAAGGCTGTGAGTTGCAAAACTAAATCAGTAAGCCTTTCAAGTGTTCCAGTTAGGTTAGCAAAGATATACTGACAAGGGCCTTGTTTGTTGTGCCATGTGAAGAGCACAGTTGAGGNAGAAGATTGATCGACCATTGTTCAGAGATTTTTGGCCTCGATTCCTGGATAGTCTCAAAGCTTTATCGGAGAAGGTTTGAGTTTTACATGACTATGTTCTTGTTAAAGGTGTTTATATTGTGGCTCCAAGCTTTCAGACTGGATGGAAGGGTTGGTAGCTGTGACATCTCTCCATCCAACTTGTTGTAGGGGTTAGCACCAACTTACACTGTACGTTAGACGGGTTGGAAGGACCGAACCTGTTTCCTGTGAGTTGCAATACGTGCCCTTATCACAACAAGTTCACCGTGACAACATTATTTTGGACCCATTACAAACTGAATCAGTAAGCCTTTCAAGTAATTCAGTTAGGTTAACAAAGATTTACTGACAAGGGCCTTGTTTGTTGTGCCATGTGAAGAGCACAGTTGAGGAACATGAGTGAAGATGATGAAGTACTAATCCAACCCCTTGCTGTTGCACCCGGAGTGGCGAGGTACACTCAGCTAACATGGTGAACAATGTCTCATTGCACATCTTGTATTATTTTAGGGTCAAAGAACTGTGTATCGTCTCACATTAGTAAAGTCATGGAACAGTGAAGAACTCCAAAACTATGCCGACTTGGTTTCCATTGGCCGACCAGACTTCATTGAAGTAAAGGTACTATAACTTTACTTTGTTTCCCAAAGAATACTCTTACGCAGATGTGACAGTTTTGTTTTGGAGTTTTCCCAGCAGGTTTGTGAAACTGACGTGTTTAAGCGTTACCCTTTATCAGAACNTAGTCTTTACTTGATTAAGCTTGATTAAGATTGAACCGAATTGTTGGTAAAAACTGATTTTTGTGCACCTGGTGTAGCTGCACCAAAACTAAGAATATGCCTGTCAGTCAGGAGAATTGTTTGTAGGAAAACATGATTTATTATAATTTGTAAGTTTGTCAGAAAATGAATGCCTTGAAAGGATCACATGTTTTTAATAGGGAAATAGAGCTATGAAGGCCTCACCATCTCTTCTGGATTCTGAGACCAATAGCAGAGGAACAGCCAGGTCAGAGAGAATCAAGATATTCTTTGGAACACAAACAGGAAAGGCAAAGGTACTGAACTGCATGCTAATTTTCTGTTTTTTTGTACTTGTATGATATTTGAGATTGCTCCCTGACAATGGTAAAGAATTACTGTTCCCTTCATCTAGCAAACACCATGTTGCGTGACTAGGTCATCGTCATTATGTATATGCACGCACGAGCAATACCACTACCCATGATAACCATGAGAAAATCGATTCATGGGTTTCCTCTTTTTCCTATATGTGTATCTTGCTCCACTTGGTGGCCCTTCGGGCTGCTGGAGCTCTGCTTGTAATTTGTTTTGAGGTTGATGTTACTTTTTCTGGGTTGTATTAGACTTTGTTTAAGTGCCTTCTGATATTGCGTGCATTTTTCGTGTCTTCACTGTTATTACTTTTTCCACTCAAAACAAGTCTCACGGGTTGACTGGTGGGACGATTAGGATTTAGACTGTCCTCAGTCCTTTATATGATTAATGAAGTCTACTGAAATTTATGCAAGTCATTACACTGACCAGCACTCTCTATCAAAACAGATTGAGATTGCCATAATCTGTGGCCAATTTTTTTAAAATTTTGTGTTTGTGCAGAGTTTAGCTAAAGATATGAAATCCAAAGCACAAAGCCTGGGGTTGACGAGTGAGGTGGTGGATTTAAAGAATTATGAACCAGAGGACAGTCTTTCTGAGGAGGTAAGGATATATTTTCTGAATTTGTTGTCTGTAGTATTTTTGTTTACGTGGGAGAAACTTACTCTAAGTATCAACAAACAACAAATTTACTGTGTGATAAGTTAAGAAGTTTGTAAGCTGTAAGTTCTTGATGTCAGATCAGATTCTTTACCATTACTTACTGCATGTCTACGTGTGTGATTTTCTAATCTACAGGTTGATACTTGTGTGTTTATAATCAGCACCTATGTGGATGGAAAGCCTCCAGAAAGTGCTGAGTGGTTTTGTAAATGGCTAGAGGAGGCCTCAAATGATTTCCGTGTGCAGAAATCTCTCCTCAGTGGTTTGGACTATGCAGTGTTTGGTCTTGGTAATTCTCTCTACAGGGAAAGATTTAACATGGTTAGTAATCCAACATATTAGCTTTCATGTCATTCAACAATTATTGTGCTTGGATAAACAGAGACTGAAGTCGATTGTTGAAGTAGGTTTAAACAAACACGATTGTGCTGCAGGTTGGAAAGAATGTTGACAAGTGGCTGGGGTTGCTCAGTGCAAGACAAGTCTTTCCTTTTGGATTGGGAGATGAAAATGTAGCAAACAGCAAACATGGAGGTAAGAGGATATTGTTAATGGAACATTTGGGGGCCATTACTGATGAGCATGGAATGATATATGACTGCAACTTAACGATAACAGCAACCAACAACAAGAGAATTGAGTTGCAGAGTATTTTTTGAAAAGTCTTGCATTTTGATTTTAATTGTGAATTGTTGGGCTCTTTGTAGGCACCGAGGAAGACTTCAAATTTTGGAGTTCAGACTTCCTATTGCATTTTAAAAAGGAAAGAGGGAACTCAAAGGAGACTGCGTGCCACTGTGCCACTGAATCAAAATCTGGTAGCAATGCCTGCCTCCATAGCCAAGAAGATTTTCAGAAGAATGATATTCAAGATGATGAGGTACTGAGCCATGCACAATGTCTAGCAAGCCACTGAAAGTAACATACCATAAACTCATTTCGGACACTGATATTGAAAATAATTCGCCCTGATATAGGCTTCCAGTCACAGGTTTAGCTGGTATTAATTTCTTCCTGTTAGAAGCCCGTAGCTTATGTATAACTTGTGTTGCTTGTATACTAGTTATTTTAATTTTTATATTCATGTTCAGAGAATTTTGACGTCATTAGATGACTGTTGAGCTACTTCTTAGTGTGTTACATGTATGTGTGCATGTAATTTTCCGCTATGCAGGGTATAATAAATCTACAGGTCTAGAAGTTGTTACTCCCTTCCAGTGTAAGCCTTGGAACCATTAAATGTGAAATGCTAGCTAGCTCCCTTCTGGCATTATTATAGTAACAAACATTTTTACTTTACTTTCACAAATATATTGTGTGTTTAGTCAGTTACAAGTTGACGAAGTTTACCATTCTCCTTTTGCTAAAGACTCTGTATGAAACCACTAGTGAAGAAGATGATGATGGAGGAGATGATGAAAGAGAAAACAAGTCTGGCTTGTTAGACTTGGAAGATTTAGGACCTATGATGAACACAATGAAACAAGCAAAGGTAAAAGAAATTGTACGCCAGAAATATAGCTGAAGCTTGCATTGCAGAATAGAAATTTACATGTCATAAAACATCCTAATTACATCCATGTAGATCACTGCTATGTATTACTAGAATATTTGTAATATTTACCTCTGAGGAGGCAGTAGATAACCAAATTAGTGAAGAGTATAACTAAAGAGGGAGAACTTAATGTGAATAAAAAAAGGTGTCACTGTGGCTATATGAACAATGTCTCATTAAGTGACGGCAGTTTTATTGGTCACCAGCTCCTGTTGTAACCCTGTGTATGTGGAATGAATTTAAAAGTACACAGTGCAAACTAGAATCGGCACATTAGCATGATCATTGCTAGTTGTACTTTATGTGTACGTACACGCTTTGCAAAAACATTGTTTACAAATTTTCTGGCATTTTACAAGCTTGCACATTGTACCCTTTTTTCCCCTAATTCCTGCACCTACTTGTAGGAAGAAAGAGAAGCTATGCAGTTGAAGGGTCCAAAGAGAAGTATAGGTATGTTACAGTGTGTTTTTGTCTCATATTGGTTAAAATTGGAATACTGT